CTTGAGGATGGTCTTGATCCCTGTCTCCTGGACGATGTCACGAACTTCCATCCATAGTTTATCAGGCACTCTATCAGATCTAGTCCCTTAAATCTATTTCTCACTTCCACTGTATAAATCATAAGGGATTTGATTTAGGTCATACCTGAATGGTCTAGTGGTTTTCCCTACTTTCTTCAATTTAAGACTGAATTTGGCAATAAGGGGTTCATGATCTGAGCCACAGTCAGCTCCCGGTCTTGTTTTTGCTGACCATATAGAGCTTTTCCATCTTTGGGTGCAAAGAATATAATCAATCTGATTTCAGTATTGACCATCTGCTGATGTCCATGTGTAGAGTCTTCTCTTATGTTGTTGGAAGAGGGTGTTTGCTATGACCAGTGTGTTCTCTTGGCAAAGCTCTATTAGCCTTTGCCCTGCTTCATTCCACACCCCAAGGCCAAATTTGCCTGTTACTCCAGGTGTTTTTTGACTTCCTACTTTCGCATTCCAGTCCCCTATAATGAAAAGGACATCTTTTTTGGGTGTTAGTTCTAAAAGGTCTTGTAGGTCTTCATAGAACCTTTCAACTTCAGCTCCTTCAGTATTACTGGTTGGGGCATAGACTTGATTACCATGATATTGAACGGTTTACTATCAGCTGAATATTAATGGTGTAATAACAGCTACAGTTTATTGGGTACTCGTTGTGCTAAGTGGATTTACACACATTATCTCATTTAATTTCTTTTGCAATGGTATAGAGTAGGCTAAATTTTGCAAATGAAGAAACTGAGGCTTCAGAAAAGTTACACAACTTTTTTTTTTTAACATATCTATCTATTCATTTTCAGATTCCTTTCCCTTACAGGTTATTACAAAATATTGAGTTGAGTTCCTTGTACTAGTTAATAGGTCCTTGTATTTATCTAGTATATATATAGTAGTGAGCTTCCCTGGCTCATGGGTAAAGAATCCACCTGTCAATGCAGGAGATGTGGGGGAGCTAGAGTCAATCCCTGGGTCAGGAAGATCCCCTGAAAGAGGAAATGGCAACCCACTCAAATATTCTTCCCTGTATAATTCCATGAATAGAGGAGACTGGTGGACTGCAGTCCATGGGGTTGCAAAGAGTCAGATACAATAGAGCCACTGAGCAGTCATGCACACAAAAATTTCTCATCTAAATTCATTTGAACCCTTGTAGTGCTTATCTATATCCTGTTCTGTTTTTTATTTTTCCTGTATTTGTATATAATATATGTATCCATTTGTGACATTATTTCTTGTATGTGATATTATCATTCATATTTAGTATGTTTATTTACCATGTTTCTCAAATTAGACTATAATCTCCTTGTGCTCAAGACATACATTTGTGCATCTCCTATAATTGTTTCACTCAATATTTTACACATGATACACTAATTAACACCCATTTACTTATTAGCTTTTATTTACCTGGAACAGTTTAAATGCTAGGAATGTAATGACAAATAAGCAATAAATAAACATTGTCTCTAAATAATTAATTGGGTGCCATTATTCCCTGGTGGCTCAGTGGTAAAGAACTCACTTGTCCAGGAGACATAGTTTCAATCTCTGAGTCAGGAAGATCTCCTGGAGAAGGAAATGGCAACCCACTTCAGTCTTCTTAACTGGGAAATCCCATGGACAGAGGAGGCTGACAGGCTCTATTCCATGGGGTTGAAAAAGAGTTGGACACAACTTAGCCACTAAACAATAGTAACATTCAACTATCCCAGTGTGCAAATTAAGAAGTGGCTCTTCAGATGTATAAAGCAAACTATGGTTAGCAGGCGCTACACAGCTGGTAGGAGTAAATTGGGAAACTAGGAAAGAGATATGCACACTACTCTATATAAAATAGATAACTAATGAGGACCTATTGTAAAGCACAGGGAACTCTGCTCAAGACTCTGTAATGGCCTATATGCAAAAAGAATCCAAAAAAGTGTGGATAACATGTATGGGTTTCCCAAGTGGCACTAGTGGTAATGAACCCAACTGCCAAGACTTAAAGAGATGTGGATTCAATCCCTTGGTCAGGAAGATCCCCTGGAGAAGGCTAAGGCAACCCACTCCAGTATTCTTGCCTGGAAAATTCCCTGGACAGAGGAGCCTGATGGGTTACAATCCATAGTGTCACAAACAGTAGGACATGACTGAAGCAACGTAGCACGCATGCATGTGTATGTGGAACTGATTAACTTTACTGTACATCTAAGACTAAGACAACATTGTAAATTATATTCCAATACTGTTTTGTTTTGTTTTTTAAAAAGAAGTAGCTTTTGGCTCCCTTGGAGAGCAGTGCAAACCCTAGTCCAGAGACTGCCACTTCTTTGCTGAATAACCTCAGGTGTATCGGGTAAACTCTCAGAGCCTCCCCCAATCTGTTAAACAGAGAACATAATATGTCTTAGAGACTATGAAAGAGATATGTGAAAACACCCTAAAAACTGCTAAGTTCTATATAAATATAAGTTGCTATTTTTATTACTGTAATAACATAAATGAAGCAGGAACTGGATCCATCATGAATAAAATACTCTCAGAAATGCTGTCACTGTCTTACTGATAATTTTCAGCCTTATTCTCCAAAGATGATAAGAAACGTGATTCTGCCTGTCACAGTATACTTGGGTGACAACCTTTGAGTAGGATTTCATGTTGCCAACTCCCCTCAGGTCCAGAATTCCCAGGGGAGACTGCCACCACCTCCAAGGGAATGCCTGTGCCACTAATACAGCTTTACCTACTGTTGGAAATCTGAAAAGGCTACTCGGCCATGAGCAGAGAGCTCCAGCCCATCCAAAGTAGCTTCCTGGGTTTCTGTAATAGAACTATTCTTAGAATGCCCAAACCTTTCTCATAAGAGTCTCCCTGCAGTGGCCTGCTGGGGGTCAGGGACACTTGAGCCTGGCAGTACCACCATCTCACAGTCAACCATTTAATTCATATCTTTGTGCCTCATGTTCAAGGGTGTGTACTCCCATTGAGTTCACATGTCTCTCAGTGAATCACCATCTTTCTTTCCTAAAACTCATGCCTCAGCTTCCTGATTAAGGGTCACCTTCCACCCTGAGGTTGGTTTTCCAATCTGTCTGTTCTGAGTCAGGCAGTTCTCCCTTCCCACCTCACCTCTCCACCAAGTTCCAGGGCTTGTTGCCTCAACACACATCACTGGTGTGGGAGTGTCAGGTCCATGGGTGATGTCATTTGTTTGTAAACAATTCTCACAAATCACCTCCCACTGGAAACTACAGAGTCTAACAGATGGAAACAAGGGCCCCTCCCATCCAGAGTGGGACTGCCTTTCAGAGCCTCCCTTACAGGGGTCATTGAGTCTCAACTTTAAATATCCTGGATGAATCAATGAAGAATTTCTTACCCTGCCTCTAAGCAAATAACCTGGGCTGGGTGGATGCCATGACAGAGTTTACCAGTCACTGGGTCATGGATGGAGCAGCAGCCAAGAAGCCAAGCTTCAATTTTCTAAGAGCCTGGGTGTGTCTACAGAGGCCAGAGTGTGATGGTGATTTCTAAAGGAGGAGGATATGATACCTTGAGTCTGAGAAGATGGACTTTGGAATCAGACAGACCCCAGTTCAAATCTCATCACCCTCACTCACCCTCCGGGGGCCTGAGACTTTCACTAGCTGTGCAGTTTTGGCCAAGTCACTGAAATTGATCCCCAGTTTCATCATCACCTAAAAAAATAGGGAACTTCGTGTCTATATATTGAGATTATTGTGAGGATTTAAATGAGATAATATATGTAACATGGCTAACCTTGTGACCAAGGAAGCATGAGAACAGAGTGAATGCGCAACAAATGGTAACTATTGCCACTATTATTAATACCATTATCATCACCTCATCCCTTGTGAGCCCAGCATACACTGCTACAGAGGACTTTGTTGTGTTTCTTCTTCCTGAAATGACTGAATGAGGTCTGTGCCTGCAGGATGGGGTTTCAGAGCTACTCAGGATGGCTCCATCACAACCACCACCTCTAGAGAATGACATTCCCGCATTTCCATGCCCTGCACTTCTCATCCTGCAGGGTCCTGAAAACTCATGGATCGCTGTTGGACCTCAGCTGTATGACTGAGGCTTGGAGCAGGAGGTTTGCAGTCTCCTGCAACAACCAACAGGCAAAGCAGTTGACTAGTGATCCTCTGTACCAGAAGTTAAGTCTCAGCTCACCTGACTCCAAAGCCTCTTAAGAACTGCAGATCCAAACCTTTGCCACGCAGCTGCCTGTGCCTGATGGATAGGAGAGTGAGCACCTCCATGGAGCAAGGCTCTGGAAGGCTTCCCAGGACCAAGCAGAGCAGTTAGGAGCATAAGTCCTGGCTTGTCCATCATCTATTGGCTGAGTGACTTTGAGCCAGCTCCTTAACCTGTTTCTCTTCTGTAAAATGGGGCTAACAGCACCTACCTCCTTGAGTCACTGTGAGATGATGCATGTCCCATAAAGCCCTCAGAATACTGCCTGGCTCCTTATGTGACTCCTGCTATCAAGATTAAGTACCAGAAAGCCACTCTTACGCAGGCATGAATTTCAGTTTCCTGCCTGTTACAAATCTGCCAAGCCAGAGCTGAGCAGAGAGGATGGAGGAACAGAACACGATGATAAATACACTAAAAAAACTAAAGAACAAATAACAGAGGGGGTGTTCTCAGGAGGTAGAAGCTTTATTATGACATGTCTTCAAACAACAATCAAATCAGTAAGCATTTATTGAGTGCCAACTGTTTGCAAGCCCTTGCAGACAGTAAAGTACACCCACGGCTTTCAGGTTCCCAAGGAGAAAAAGCACACGTGGGTCAGGAAGCTTTGTGAGGCTGAATACAGAGTGAGTATCCGAACATCCAAGAGCAATTAGCTTTGCGGGGAGGCAAACTCTGAGGCGCCGCCTCGCAGGGGAGCGCGGTACGGAGGGGCACAGGCGCGGGGTGGGAGCAGCTCTCGCGAGGGTACGGGGGTGGCCTCAGCACCCGCAGCAGCCGGAGGAGCCGTAGTATCCGGAGCTCTGGTTGCTGCCTCCGCAGCAGCCGCAGCCGCGTCTACCCTGCCGCCGGCGCCTCCTGGGGAAGCAGCAGCAACCGACGGAGCTGGAGCCGCCGCAGCCACAGTCTCCGCAGCAGCCGGAGTCGCCCCTGGAGCCGCAGCAGCCGTTCCCGCAGCAGCCAGAGCTGCTGGAGGAGGTGTCGGGCGCCGGGGCGGGACAAGGGGTGGGGCCCTGCGAAGAGCCCTTGGGAGAGCCTTTGGCGCTCTGCTGAGAGGACATCGTCACGGAGAACCTGCAAGAGAAGCAGCTTTTCGTATGCGAGTTCTGTTTCTTTCCAAAGAGGGCTTTTGAGAGGTGCCTTTGTGAGCCTGGCCTAATGCCAGGAAGGAAAGCGCTACACACACACAAACACACACACACACACACACACACACACACACACACACACACACACAGAGCAAGAAAAAGGGGAAGCAAAGGAAAACCCCCAAACAGGTATTCCAGTGAGTGAGTTCCCCTGAGTTAAAACCTGCCTACAGTAGCCACAGCCTATGAAAAGAAATCAGTGGTTTCCCCTTTTCTCTGACTAGAGTAAGGACCACCCAAGTTCTTTACAGTGGAAAAGAAAGGATACTGTGGCAATTTTTCTGTCTGATTCTGTCCAAAATCTTCTCCCGTCTCTTTTCCCCTCTCCCATGTCTCTGTGGCCATAGGCCTTCAGGTGTTCCCCTAGCCATCAGCATTGCATTAACACTAATGGGGTTTCCACAGTGGCTCAGTGGTGAAGAGTCCACCTGCCAAGCAGGAGACTCAGGTTAGATCCCTGGATCGGGGAAGATCCCCTGGAGAAGGAATGGCAACCCACTCCAGTATTCGTGCCTGGATATTCCCATGGACAGAGGAGCCTGGTGGGCTATAGTCCACGGGGTCACAAAGAGCCAGGCATGACTAAGTGACTAAACGGCGACGACAGTTAGAAAATACTCAAGTCACACGTGCATCTGTCTGTCCCAGTCATTTGGGTCTAAAGGATCCACAAACACCAGAAGCATGTCCTGGCCTATGTCTGTCATCCCCCACGACCATAAGGAAAAGGAGAGTGGGGCAAAGGATGGAAATACATCCCCCTCCAGGGAGCCAAAAACCTGGGTTCTAGGAGAGTCACATCTCTGCTGTAGACTTGCCGTGTGACTGTGCAGTCCCCCCACCCCCAATCCAGCTTCCACGTGCTCACTGACACCAGGCAAGGTCAGCTCACTTGAAGCTTAGGGCACTCTCCAGGGCCTTCCTTCTGCATCTCCCTGCTTGCTATGTTCTGCCTTCTCCTCCCCTCTGTCTTCAACTCTTCCCATCCTCCTCCCCCAAGTTCCACTTGGAGACTTACCAAACCCTGGCTTCGCTGGAAGACTCACTTAGTTTTCCAACTGGAGTAGGCCACCTGCTAGGCAGTGGATTGAGCAGTGTCCAGCCAGAGAACCTTTTATAAGAACCCAGGCACTGGCTCTTGGGAGGGGCCCATTTCCCAACAGACATGGTCAGCTGACACATCCCAGAGACATTCATCACTCAGGTAGCCCCGGAGGTGGTGCACGTGTGTATTCAAGTCACCTAACAGAGGTGCCAGGATTGCTGCAGCATGTTTACTTTCCAAATAGGACTCTGTTCATAGCTGGGAGGGCTGTGTGTGTGCTAAGACAGGGCCGGGGGGCCCGAGTGAGGAGAGGTCTGGTCCTCTCTTGGGACCTATTCTCTTTGCCCTTTTCTGCAGTGTACAGTCATACACATAAACACACACACACACACACACACACACACACACACACACAGTTCCCCTGTTCACACACTCATCCCAAGGTTGCTATCTAGATGGTCATTTGTAGTCCAGTTGGTATCTTGGTTCACATCTCTCAGGATCTTGGTCCTTAGCCCCTCAAGGAAGACCAAAGTTTATGGGAAAAGCCTGGTGGGTTTCATCCAAATGCTTCCAGGTGGGATTGAGTGAAGATGATGGTGGAGATGTGCCTACGGGAATCTCAGTGGCAATTTCTCTCTGTTACTGAAGACAAGAAGAAAAACCCAAGCAAAGTTATGTAACAGTTAAGACCAGGAAAGCTGTGAATGTAGTTAGGTTATCTGTCATACCCCCATATAACCCTGATGAACCTAAAAGAAATACTCATACAGGATGCCGGTCCAGGTGACAAATATTAAGTCAGATTGTGAGACTCTCTGCTCCTGACTTCATCTCAAACTCCCTTTGAAGATAGGTTCTCCCTGGGGCCACTGCCCAATGTGAAGAGAAAGAAAGAAGGGAAGAAGAAAGAAAAAGGAAGGGAGGAAGAAAAAGAGAAGGAGGAAGGAAGGAAAGAAAGAGAAAGGAAGGAAGGAAGGAAGTGTGGAGAAAGAGGGTGGAGGGAGGCTAGGAGACCTGTCCCAAGGTCCAAAGTGTCCATCAAAAATGGTGCCTTTAGAATAACTAGGGCTTCCCTGGTGTCTCAGATGGTAAAGAATCCATCTGCAATGCAAGAGATACAGGTTCAGTCCCTGGGTTGGGAAGATCCCCTGGAGAAGGGAATGCTACCCACTCCAGGGGATCTTCTCCAGTATTCTGCCTGGAGAACTTCATGGACAGAGGAGCCTGGCAGGCTATAGTCCATGTGTTGCACAGAGTCAGACACAACTGAGTAACTAACACACACATACAGAATAACCAACTTTTAAGAATTGGGAGAGACTTTGGAGGTTAACTGGTTATCAGAACTGCTTCTTAATCAGTGCAGCTGCCCACAACCATGAGTGTAAGGTAAAAGAGAAATCCAAGACTAAGAATTCAAAAATTGATGGTGAGACAGGTTTGGGAATGAGTGAGCTGGGTGTGGCATGAGGGTGCAGACAAGGAAAGGTAAGTCACGAAAAGATACCAATTTCGTTTAACATGGCTTTAGAGCCTGATTAACAGGTTGCATGTAGCTAGGGCCACCTGTTAGTGAGTACAGATGAGATACTAGAGAGGTGAGGTCAATAGTAGAAAAGAGAAGGAAGTAATGAAGTAACAAGATGGAGACAGGATCTCCTCTGGGAGACGATTTGGGCAAGTACATGCTCATTGTATGGACTTGCTGTAGCCTCTTATACTAACATTCATTACCCATCACTGCTAATTCTTATCAAAGAAAGGGCTAATTGCTCATCTTGTACATAAAAGGCTGATGCAGAATTATTTCTGTCACTAACTTTTTGAGTCTTTCCTGAAGGAATCAGCCTATTCTTTTTTTTTTTTTTTTTTAGTTTTTTTTATTTATTTTTTTATTTTTTTCATTTATTTTTATTAGTTGGAGGCTAATTACTTTACATCATTGCAGTGGTTTTTGTCATACATTGAAATGAATTAGCCATGGATTTACATGTATCAGCCTATTCTTAAAGGAAAAACCCAACCCAGTGACAGAAGCTCCCGTGCTCTTGCCTCCATCCCCTCCTCACACACACCACCCCACCCCAACCAAAGGGGTGCAGAGGAAGGAGTCCTTGTCGGTTCCCTATGCTCAGACACTTAGGCATGTCTGACTCTTTGCAACCCCGTGGATTATAACCCACCTGGCTCCTCTGTCGATGGGATTTCCCAGGCAAGAATGCTGGAGTGGGTTGCCATTTCCTTCTCCAAGGGATCTTCCTGACCTGACCCAGGGATTGAACCCAAGTCTCCTGCATCTCCTACACTGGCAGGTGGACTCTCTACCACTGAGCCACCAGGGAAGCCCCTCTGGGTTCCCTATTCAGACTCAAACTCTGGCTTTCAGGAGCCAGAGGAAATGGACTCAGAAATTCCATACCTGCCTCCTAAACTCGTCCCCCAGAAACTAACCTCCATCAGCTCTCCTTTCTAGTCAATTAACAGAAGCACCCAGGATTATAATAGTCAGTAAAGGTGTTTATTCACTGAGGCCCAGAATGAGCACTTTACTGATCTTATTGTCTGTGACTAGGAAATAAAGTTGTTTTTTTTTTTCTTAATAATCACCAATGCTGGAAAGAAACCCTCTTCGAGTCATCTCACTGTGACCTTTCTGGGTCCCACCATCTCCTTTTGGAAAATCATGTTCCCAACCCTTCTCATGGGAAGCTTGTGTCAGAGTAATGGTCTCCAACATGATTCTTTCCTTCAAGCTTAAAATCCCCTCCTTCAGATCATAAGAGGAAATGCTGTCTCCCAGAGGTCTAAGTAGTTTTGGTGCAAAATCTGTTTCCCAAACTGATTTTTTAAGTGTTGACTTGTATTTAGAAGAAGGGGAGGGAAGATGGCTTGAGGCAGTGGGTGGGGAGTGGGAGAGGTGAACAAAACAATCAGGAGGCAGTGACACCAGGAATAAAAAGCTTTATGGCTACAGTGACAACCCAAATTCCAATACTGAGTCCTCCAAAGGACCATATCTAGCGGGAAATCAGGCCAGTGAGTATCAGAGGTTACACCTCTAGACCTCACCATGGAATGAACAGGGCAGGAAGAAGAGGGAAGTTCTGAGCGTTTCGGAAGCCCTTCCATTCTCTTCTTCCACTCTTCCAAGCCAGAAAAAGAGAAGACTCAGGCTGGGCAGGTCATCAGCTCTTTGAATCCTGCAGTGTTACTCTTCAGTGGTCTTCATGACCCAGTTCAGCAGCAGCCCCCAGAGCAGCAGCCGGAGCCCCCAGAGCAGCAGCCCGAGCCCCCAGAGTGCTGGCCACCGCCACTGCCACAGCAGCCAGAGCTCTGGTGTCGGCGTCGAAGAGATCTGCGAAGCTTGTGGTGGCTCAGGCAGCAGCCTCCACCCCCAGAGCTGCAGCAGCCCCCGGAGCTGGGGGCACAGCAGGAAGACACTGGAGGGGGACACGGGGCTGGGCACTTGGGAGGACACTTAGGCGTGCACTTGGGTGGGCATTTGGGGGGACACTTGGGCGGGGGCTGGCACTGCTGCTGGTTTTGCTGGCAGGACATCTTGGCAGGAACTGAATGGAGCTGGAAGAAAATAGAGAAATTTTAAGTTCAACTAACCCAAGATAACTTCCTTACATTTAAACTGAACTATAATTTCACAAGGTTTCTTCTTTTTGGTGATCAGATTTTAAAACCCAGTCACCCCAAATGAGTTACAAGAGACAAGCAAAGAGTTTCAGCCTAGGAACTCCATAACTTCAAATGAACCTTTCGCAACTTCAGAAAGATGCCAATCCTTTCCCTTCTCCTGATCCTCCCTCCCCTTTCCAGCAGAAACTTCCCTGCCAAATCCACTTTTCTCCTTGTCTTCCTTCAAGACGGTCTTCGGCCTCCACCCAGGGATTCTCTCTGCCCAAAGCGCCAACACCAAGAGTCCCTCCTGGTCCTTTACCTGGTTCAACACTGGAGCAGGTTACCCTGGAGGCAGGTGGACTGAGGCGCTGTCTGAGGCTTCTGCCTTTTATACAGGTTCAGCTCTGACCTGGCATCAGGCAATGCCAACCAAGGGCAGGATGCTGATAGCATCTTTCACAAGGGGCACAGGTGACTACCCTCCCCTCACATCCCAAGGACCCAATTCCTCACTCCATAAGTATGTCAAGTATTAACCCACAGGAAGATCCCCTGAGAACTGCTGGCCTCTAACTAAGATAATGATGCATTCATTGCCTGTCAATCTCACAAGCAGCTCTGCTATGCTCCTGATTTCCGATGCTCAGTCAATAGGGTTCTAGACCTCTGCGAAGGAAAGTACTCACTTCTCTTTGGTATAGGAAATGGAGGAAAAATTCCCTCCATGGAAATTAAATGGACCTTTTGTAATAAAGATACGGATCCAAAATAAAGTGAGAAGACCAGGCCAACTATCTAATGTCTTTTTCATTCTTAGATGATGCCATATTGTTGCTGCTGTTTAGTCACTTAAGTTGTGTCCAACCCTTTGCAGCCCCATGAACTGTAGCCCACCAGGCTCCTCTGTCTATGGGATTTCCCACACAAGAATACTGGAGTGAGTTGCTGTTTGCTTCTCCAGGGGATCTTCCCAACCTGGAGATTGACCTTGCATCCCTGCGTTGGCAGGCAGATTCTTTACCACTGAGCCACCAGGGAATCCCAGTTGATGGCTCAGTCTGGACTATGAATGCCGGCTGTCTCAGTGATGCTGTTTTAGGCAGGCCCCATGCAGATGGTGTGGGCGGTTGGCGTCTCTCCTTACCTGAACTTGATCCACCAAAAGAACTCACAAAGAGCACTGACTCAGCAATAAGAATCCCTTTGGAAGGGCAGAAGTCTCGGAATGGCTTCTCTTTCCATAGGTGATCCTAAAGAAGGCATCTGTGCTCTGCCCAAGGTGAGGTGGCAGGGACCAGGTTTATGCTGAGGGTGAAGCTGGAGAACTAGACTTCAATGGAAATTGCCAGAAGTGAGGCCTGGGTTCTGGTCGACTCTAAGGAAAGAGCATCCAGCCTGAGAAAATCCTTTTTGTATAAAAAACCTGATGGACGGGGAGGGGTGGGGAAGACATAGGTTTTGCAAGCCTGCGATGGAACCCTACAAACAATGTCCTGAGGGCAATTAGGTCCCCACTAAAGTCATCAAAGTTTAGTTAGGATAAGATAGTCAAAATATGGCATATTCACAACGAAAACTGCAGTGAGAGGAAGTAAGACAGGGAGAAACACCTCAGCTCTAAGCTGGACAGACTGGCACCAGTTCCCAGATCTGCAAACTCAGGCAGGTTATTTAAGCATCACTGTAAAAAGGGGCTTCCTGCTTTTGCATTTCAGTCCCCTATGATGAAAAGGACACCTTTTTTTTTTTTCTTCATCCAGATTTATTGCCTTTCTGATCATTATGATTTTCATGTAAGCAAGTTGCCAAAATACATTAGCTCTGATTTTATACAGACTCTAAAAGTTAGGATACAAAAAGCATATAAACATCTACCAATACCAAAATGTTTATGACCTTATAATTGTATGGAGTAAGAAAAGGGCACAGATAAGGAATACAAATAAATGAAAATCTAAAGACTAACACTTCCTTTATTATGTTAAAATCCACTGACAAAGCAAAAGGAATGTTAAGCTTTTATAAACAATTGTGAACACAAAGTGACTGTTTCCTTCCATTTCCTGCCCATCTCCTTAGCTCTAAGAGCACTGGAGACAGCCAGCTTCTTCAGAGGGTCCATGAACAGCTGCGGGCTAACGTCATCAGTGAGGATGGGCGCTCCCGTTTCCTGTCCGCAAGCACTCAGGTTATCGTGTGTCTGAGACGGTGTCACTTTGGACAAAAGAAATCGAGTCTGGCTTCCCCTGTGCTCCGTGTGGATGTCCCGCGGCACCGGGAACCGCGCCTGCAGGAGGTGCTTGAAATTTTCCTACTCGGGTATGTCCTGGTAGCCTGCTTTCCGCCACTGGGCTATAGTCTCACTAAGATAAATGACAATTTGGAAGAAAGTATCCATGAGCAGAATTCTGTCAGCAAGAATTCCGACAGCTGCTGCTGTCCAGGAGCACAGGCTCTGGGACCCGTGGAAGGAGTAGGAATACAGGGTGGGCTGGATCATGATGAGGGGCTGGGTGAGATCCTGCCGGGCAAAGTGGTGCCGATAATATGATGACTCGTCAGGGCTGTTGTTGAAGATGAAGGAATGGAGACCTTCTAAGATGTAACATGAACTGAGGGTATAGAGAGAAGGAATCTGATAACCTAAATGACACAGGGTCTTCTTCGTTATACTCTCCAAACTTCTAACACAGCCGGATGAGCTGTCGGTCCAGCCACTGGAGCACGTCCAGCCCCTCCTCCGACTCGGCTCGGAACACCCCCATCAGCATCGCAGCCGCCTCCTGGTCAAACGCCACTTTGACGTGCTTCAGCTGTCTCTGCACATCTGCCCAGTTGCGGGCAACGGCGGTCACACGGATGCGCCGCTGGGTGCGGGATTGCTGGTAGTGCAAGAAGAACTGGATGGCGCCTCGGCCTCCTTGCGGGATGCGGGCGTTGTGCTGGGTGACTACTTCAAAGTAGATGCGGAGCGTCGCTGTGGGATCCAGGCCACAGATTTTCCACTGTGTCTTGCCACCGACACCAAGCTCTTTTTCTGACACACACGGTCCTTTCACATTCAGAGACACACAGCGTCCAATGACTTCCGCAACCTTCAGCTCCCTTGAGGTCTTTACTTCCGAAGTAGCGCCAAATGCCATTCGGTGTTAGTTCTAGAAGGTCTTTTAAGTCTTCATAGAATGGTTCAGCTTTGGCATTAGAGGTTGGGACATAGACTAGGATTAAATCTGTGATATTGAATGGTTTACCTTGAAAATGAACAGAGATCATTCTGTCATTTTTGAGATTGCACCAAGTACTGCATTTCCGACTCTTTTGTTCACTATGAGGGCTGCTCCATTTCTTCTAAGGGATTCTTGCCCACAGTAGTAAATATAATGGTCATCTGAATTAAATTCACCCATTCCAGTCCATTTTAGTTCACTGATTGCTAAAATGTTGGTGTTCACTCTTGCCATCTCCTGTTTTACCACTTCCAATTTATCTTGATTCATAGACCTAACATTCCAGGTTCCTATGCAATATTATACTTTACACCATAGGACTTAACTTCCAACACCAGTCATATCCACAACTAAGCATTATTTTCACTTTGGCTCAGTCTCTTCATTCTTTATGTAGTTATTTCTCCACTGATCTCCAGTAGCATATTGGGCACCTACTGACCTGGGGAGTTCGTCTTTCAGTGTCATATCTTTTTGCCTTTTATTACTGTTCATGGGATTCTCAAGGCAAGAATACTAAAGTGGTTTGCCTTTCTGTTCTCCAGGGGACCACATTTTGTCATAAATCTCCACCATGACCAGTCTGTCTTGGGTGGCCCCACACGGCATGGCTCATAGTTTCATTGAGTCAGACAAGGCTGTGGTCCTTGTGATCAGTTTGGTTAGTTTTCTGTGGTTGCGGTTTTCATTCTGTCTGCCCTCTGATGGATAAGGATAAGAGGCTTCTTGATAGGAGTGACTGACTTTGGGGGAAACTGGGTCTTGTTCTGGTGGGTGGTGCCATGCTCAGTAAATCTTTAATCCAATTTTCTGTTGATGGGTGGGGCTGTGTTCCCTCCATGTTGTTTGGCCTGTGGCCAAACTATGGTGAAGTAAAAGTGAAAGTCACTCATTTGCGACCCCATGGACTGTACAGTCCATGGAATTCTCTGGACCAAAATACTGGAGTGGGTAGCCTTTCCCTTCCCCAGGGGATCTTCCCAACCCAGGGCTTGAACCCAGGTCTCCCACATTGCAGGTGGATTCTTTACCAGCCGAGCCACAAGGGAAGCCCAATAAAGATAAAGGGCTTCCCCGATAGCTCAGTTGGTAAAGAATCCAGCTACAATGCAGGAGACCCTGGTTCAATTCCTGGGTCAGGAAGATCCCCTGGGGAAGGAATAAGCTACCCATTCCAGTATTCTTGGGCTTCCCTTGTGGCCCAGCTGGTAAAGAATCCACCTGCAATGTGGGAGACCTGGGTTCGATCGCTGGGTTGGGAAGATCCCCTGAAGAAGTGAAAGGGTACCCACTCCAGTATTGTGGCCTGGAGAATTCCATGGACTGTATTGTATAGTCCATGGGGTTGCAAAGAGTCAGATATGACTGAGCAACTTTCACTTAATTGAAGATAATGGCGACCTCCTTGAAAAGGACTTGTGCACCCACTGTTGTATTCAATGCCCCTGACCCTGCAGCATCTGCCGCTCAGACACTCGCAGGCAAGTCTGGCTCAGTCTCTTGTGGGTACACTATTCCTTTCTCCTGGCTCCTGGTGCACACAAGGTTTTGTTTGTGCCCTCCAAGAGTCTATTTTCCCAGTCCTGTGGAAGTTCTGTAATCAAATCCCACTGGCCTCCAAAGTCAAATTCCCTGGGGATTCTCAGTCCCTTTGCCAGATCCCCAGGTTGAGAAATCTGTTGTGGGTCCTAGAACTTTCTT